AATGGTTTTCAGTGGATACACTGCCTTCCTGATGCAGGAGTATGTGTCTCTACATGAATATTAATATGACATGAAAATAAGAGGATTAAACCCAAGTTGTATTTCAGAGCAGAAATAATGCCTAGAACTTAGTAGGTACCTCAATACATACCAACTGAATGAATGAAGAACATTCTCTAGTTTTGGGGAGGAGATATTTATTTATTTATTTATTTATTTATTTATTATTTTTTATTTTTTGCAGGAGCCTCCACCTGGGGAGGATTTCTTTTTAAGATTTTATTTATTTATTCATGAGAGACACAGAGAGAGAGAGAGAGAGAGAGACAGGCAGAGGGAGAAGCAGGCTCCCTGCAGGGAACCCAATGCAGGACTCGATTCCAGGACCCCAGGATCACGCCCTGAGCCAAAGGCAGATGCTCAACACAAAGCCACCCAAGCGTCTCTGGGGAGGATTTTTAAATGATAAATGTATTTGAATATATTTTCTTCGTCTGTGGAGATGATACTGGGGCTCTCGTCCTGTAGTTCTTGAAATAAATTATTTGCTAGACTTTCTGAGGGTGAAATCTTTACAATTTTCTTGCATTCTTGGCTAAATATCCTTTTGTGACTGCAATTCTCTCTTTCTTGCTCTGAGCTTTTGTTTGCATTTTCTCTCTCTTCTCATCAGCTGGAGATTTAATTATTCATCTTTACAGAGACTCAGCTTTTGTAGTGGTCCTATTTTATGGATTTCTGTCCTCATAGTTCCTTTCTTTCTTGTTTGATTTTGCTGATTTTTATTTTTTATTCTGGCTTTTTGAGTCGAAAATTCAGCTGGCTTTCAGGCTTCTCTGTGTACACAGGTACATGTATAACCTTCCACCTGAGCATCGTTTCCCACTACCCCTTGCATTTTGCTACATAATGGTCTCTCGGTCATTCAATTTTCCGTACTATTCTTAGAATTTCCTCTTTAATCCTAGGCGTGTTTTGGTAATATGATTTTAAGTTCTTGAAACAAGGGGTTTTCTTTAGCTTCATTTATTAGTTAGGTCTAATTTGATTTTATTTGCAGCAAGCTTAGACTGCTACTTTTTTTCCTATAAATGTATTGAGATAAGTAGAGTAGCCTGCTACATAATCTTTTGTGTAAATGTTCCAGATGGGCTGCAGAGTATGGATTTCTATTTTTATATGTAAAGTTATATACAGTGCATACGTGTATGTGCATTTGTGCACACACACACATAACATATACACAAACATGAAATTGCTGTATAGTGCATTATTAGTGTGCTTTGCACTTTTTTGTACACATGAATGGAAAATTTCCCAACAAATGTATTAAAATCTCTAAATAAAATCTCTTTTCCCTGAAATTTTATCAATAGTTGCTTTCTGAATTTTTAAGCTATATCATTCATAAATATTCTATCTTTAATTAATTTTTCCAGTATATTACATTTTTCTTTGTCTGTTATGATTGTCTTGAATTAAATTGTATTTCCTTTTAAAATTGCCTTTCATTCATTTGCTTTATTATATTTAAAGATTTTATTTATTTATTTGAGAGAGAGAGAGAACACGAGCAGAGGGAGAGAGAGGTAGATTACCAGCTGAGCAGAGAGCCCAATATGGGGCTTGATCCCAGGACCCTGAGATCATGACCAGAGCTGAAGGGAAAAGCTTAAACAACTGAGCCCCCCAGGTGCCCCCATTTCCTTTATTTTTGCTCAATGTACTTCCATGTTTCCATACTGTAATTTTCAATCTGTCTGAATATTTTTATGTCAATTATAGGTCACATAATGCTAGATCTTTTTCCCTCATCAAATCTGTAAGCCAATAATTTTATTGAATTTGACACAATTATATGTATTATAATTGAAATTATATTAAAACTTATCTTTATCATTTTATTCATGTTTCCTATATTCAATATTAAATTTTTTTTCTCATTTCTTTTTGTTGGGCATAGTACATTTTCTTATTCCCCTTTCAAATAGATAAATCTGTTTTGCACACACACACACACACACACACACACACAGAGAGTTTATAATCAAGCTCTCTTCATTTTCCTTTCTGCCCTTTCTGCTCATGGATCCTGTCCTAACACTTTAAAAAAATTTTTGCACTGAACAAAAAAAATGTATAGCAATTTGATAAATTTGATTTCTCACATCTGTTTTTTTTTCATAAACTGAAAAAAGAAATCTCTCCTAACTTTGTATGTTTGGTTTAAATAATAATGGTAAAAGAATACCCAAGTATACTCTACCCAGAGGAACCAAGGAAACACTATTGAAGAATTTTGAAAAACCCTTCTTACCCTTCATCACATATACTCCCTATTCCCACAAGTAACCACCACCTCAAATTTTATTTATTATCGTAGTATTTGTACTTCAAGTTTTTCCAGATGTGGTATAGACCTCTAAACAATATGTTGCTTCATTTGGATGTTATCAGAATTTATATAAATGGAATTTATTCTACGTAATTTGTTTTGCCTAACATCAGGTGTTGGAGAACATCTGTGTGGATACATAAACAAGTAGTCCATTAACTTTCATTCCTGTGTATATTTACAGTTTAAATAAACTACACACTATTTTACATTTGCCTAAAAGTAGACGTTTGAACTCAGTTGTTTTTATCTTTTTTTCTACTGCAATCCATGCAGCTATCAACATTTGTATACATATACCCCTTTTCTAGGGCATGTATTGTCAAACTGGTTATTCTTGCCAATCTGGTCAGAAGAAAAAGCCATCCTCTTTTAATTTGCGTGTGTATCTCAGTAGTTACTAATGAGAGTGAACCTATTTTCACATGTGATGGTGTGGCCTTCATTTAATGACTCTCACTAGTCATTTACAGCCATGAAGCCACCACCACATTAAGATACAGAGCATCTCCCCTCTCCCAAAAGACCTCTCCCTCTGGATCGGTCGACGGTCCCTTCAACAATCACTACAGACTGGTTTGTGTTTTACCAAAGTGGAATCAAACACCACACACCTTTGGGTGTCTGGCTTCTTTCCGCCACAATGATCATTCTGAGATTGATTGAAGTTGTTGTGGGTTATCTATTCCTTTTTATTGCTGAGTAGTACTCGGTTTTGTGAACACATCACCACTTTTTGTTTATCCATTCATACGTTGATGGACATGGATTGTTTACAATTTTTGGCTATTGTGAATAAAGACATTATGGGTTTTGATATATATGCTTTCCTGTGGCCATGTGTTGTCTTTCTTTGGCGAATACCTAAATGTGAAAGCCTGGGTTATATGGTAGATGGACACTTTTTTAATATAGCTGAGAGGAAAATCTGTTTCTCCATACTCAGAATACTTCTCTATTCCATGTCTGTGGATACGCTTCACACCCCACGCAAGTCTGCAGGTGTCTGCAAGCACTGACGGCATGTCCTATACTTCAACTCAATTCTGACACTGCCTACCTAGAAAGAGCACCAGATCCCACAGGTGGAGGGCTCAGGCCCACAAAACTGCCCCACTTCAGACACCAATGTGAGTCTAGGTTGCCACCCATGCCTCTGACCTGTTATAGACTGTGGAGATCCTCTCCCAAAAAAAGTTTTTTTTGTTCTTTGTTTTTTGTTTTTTATTCATGAGAGATACACAGAGAGAGGTAGAGACATAGGTAGAGGGAGAAGTAGGCTTTCTGTGGGACCTCAATATGGGACTCGATCCTAGAACTCCAGGATCACCCCCTGAACTGAAGGCAGACACCCAACTACTGAGCCACCCAGGCATCCCATGATGATGATTTGCTAGCAATGCTCACAGAACTCAGGAAAAGTTTGCTTACTAAATTACCAGCTTATTATGAAAGATACAACTGAAGACCAGCCAGGTGGAAAAGATGCTCAGAATAAGGTATGGGGTTAGAGCGCAGTTTCCACATCCCTTCGGGGCACACCTTTCCACCCCAGCACTCCATGTTCACCAACCTGGAAGCTCTCCAAACCACATCCTTTGGGTATTTTGGGGAGGCTTCATTACAGAAGTATGATTGATTAAATTATTGATCACTGATGGTTAACTCAACCTCCAGCCCCTCTCCCCACCCTGGAGTTTGGAGACTGGGGCTGGGAGTTCCAACCATCTAATCACATGGGTGGTTCCCCTGGAGTTCAAGAAATGGGATGGGGTACTGAGACACAGTAGATATTTTTTATTTATAAATCACAATAACAGAGTAGCTTTATGGAGCTATAATTCACACAGCATATGATTCACCCTTTTCAAGTACACAATTCCATTATTTTTCATTCACAAAAATGGGCAAATGTCACACAATCAATTTTATAATATTTTCATCACTCCAAAAAGGTGCTGTATCTATAAGAAGTCTATGCATTTTGCCAACTCCCCCAACTCCAGGCAACCACCAATATACTTCCTGTCTCTATAGATAATTTGCCTATTTGGGATATCTCATGTAAGTGGAATTATATGTGACCAATTTGTGATATTTTGTGACTGGCTTCCTTCATTTAACATAACATTTGCAAGGCTCATCCATGTTGTAGAATGGATCATTCCTCATTCCTTTCTATTTGCCTAATAATGTTCCACTGTAGTGGCCGTACCATGTTTTATCTATCCATTCCTTAGTTGATAGACATTTCGGTTGTTTCTACTCTTGGCTATTCTGTATAATGCTGTATGAATATTTTGTGTGGAATTGTTTTCATTTTTCATGAGTATTTATGTAGGAGGGGAACTGATGGATTTATTGCAGCTTTGTGTTTAACATTTTGAGGAAGTGACAAGATAGTTTTCAAATGCAGCTGTATCACTTTATACATTTCCCCTGGCTGTGTGTGACAGTTCTGATTTCTCCACATACAGATGGGCATTTGACTTTTAAGAAACTGCCAAATAATTTTCCGAAGTGACTGCCCCATTTTGCATTTGCACCAAGAGAGAATGAGTTCCACTTCCTCTACTACTTGACCAAATTTTGGTACACTTGGTGTTCTAAATTTTACCCATTCTAGTGGGTGTATGGTAATGGCCCACTGTACTTTGGGTTTTTTGTTTGTTTGTTTTTATAATTTTATTTATTTATTCATGAGAGACATACAGAGAGGCAGAGACACAGGCAAAGGGAGAAGCAGGATCCCTGCGTGGAGCCCAATGCAAGACTCAATCCCAGGATCCCAGGATCATTGTGACCTAAGCCAAGACACTCAACCACTGAGACACCCAGGTGCCCCTGGCCCACTGTACTTTGAATCCAATATCTCTCTGGTGAGTAATAATGTTCTCACATGTTTGTTTATTTGTTTTCCTATCTTCTTAAAGTGGAACTATGGGCCACTAAATCTAGAACTTTCTTCTTTTTCTTAAATAAACATTTAGAGCTATAAATTTCCCTATAAACAGTGTGCATCCCACAAATATTAATGTCTTTTACTTATCATCCAGTTCAATATTTTCTCATTTCCTTTGTGATTTTTCCTTTGACTTATGGATTATTTAGAAGTGTGGTGTTTTGAGGGGCACCTGACTGGTGGCATGTGACTCTTAATCTTGGGAATCTAAGTTTGAGCCCCATGTTTCATGGAAATTACTTAAAAATAAAAACTTTTAAAAAAAAGTTTAAAAAGAGGAAGTGTAGTGTTATATTTTCCAAATATTTGGGAGTTTTCAAAATAACTTATCATCGACTTCTACTTTAATTCTGTTGTAGTCAGAGACCAAACTGTGTCTAGTTTCAAAACTTCTAAATTCCTCCAGACTGGTTTGGTAGCCCAATGTGTACAGTTTACTTTGATAAACATACCACATGCACTTGAAGTATATTCTGTAGTTTTGGGATATAGTGTTCTGTATCAATTAGATCATGGAGAATAATAGATTTACTCAGAGTGTCCATGTCTTTATTAAATTTTGTCTAGTTGTTCTATGAGTCGCTAAAAAAGTTTTTTTTTTTTAAATCTCCTACTATGTTTGTGGAATTCCCTGTTACTCTCTGTAATGCTGTGGGTACTTTCCCTTCATGTATTTTGAGGTTCTCTGAGTAGATACATACAGAGATAAATGTTTCCTGTGACGTACTGATGAATTGATCCTTTGATCAATTTGGAGTTACGTCTGATAAAGATTTCAGTCTTGAAAATGCATGTATTAGCTATTAGCATAGCAATTCCAGCCCTGTTATGCTTATTATTTAGATAGCATTCTTCTTTCTGTCCATTTCCTTTCAACTACTGCATGTATTTAAAGCAAATCATCTTTACAGACAGCAAACTGTGGTTCTTCCTTCATTATCCATCCCGATCTCTGCCTTTTAAATGGAGTGTTTTAATCCACTACCATTTAATGTAATTATTGATATGGCCTAAGTCTACCATTTTATTAAGTTGTTTGTTATTCCCTCTGTTTTCTGTTTCTCTCTTCCCACTTTGTTCGTCTCTTGTAGATCCCATAAATGTTTCAAACTCCTATTTAAAAAAAAATTGGCTTTTTAGCTGTACAGATTTGCACTTTTAAGTGGTTGTGGTTGCTCTAGGGATTACAGTATACATCTTTAACTTTTCAGGCTACTTAAGAGTGGATTTGTACCCTTAACATAAAATACAGAAATATGCAACCATATTAACCACTTACCCTCTCCAACTACTTTTTTATACTCTACTTATTGTATGTATTACACACATAATTAGAAGTTCCACAAGACTTTGTTATTTACTTTAAAAAAGCATATAAAAAGTAAAAAATAAAAAAATCATATGGTTTTAAAGAAACCGAGAAATAATGCCTTTCGTGGTTGCCTCCAAACTCCCCACTTGCAATGGTTTTCATTTATTCCTAAAGACCTAGGTTTCCTCTGGCATGACTTTCCTTCAGTGGGAGCAACTCTTTAGTGATTTGTGGAGTGCAAGTCTCATGGTAATGAATTCCTTGGTTTATCTTTTTCTGAAAATTGTCTTCATTTGTTCCTCTTTTTAAAAGGGTATTTTTACTGGACATCGAACTCTGAGTTAATATGTCTATTGTTTCTTCTTTTACCAATGTAAAATGTTTTCCACCTTTTCATGGCCTCCCTGGATTCTGATAAATTCATGCTGATGGAGATCAACCCTCATGTAGGGCTTGTGATTTTTTTCTTGCAATATCAAGATATTTTCTCCTGATGTTTGAATTTCAGTTTTCCCATGATGTGCCTCATCATGATTCTCTTTTGATTTTATCCTATTTGGGTTCACCGAGATTCCTGAATCTGTCAATTACACCTTTCACCAAATTTGGGAAGGCTCTGTCCATCATCTCCTCAAATATTTTTGTCTCATTCTCATTCTCCTTTTGTTCTAAGATTCCTCTGGCCCTCCGTCACCTTTCCTTCTAACACTCCTATTACACAGTCCTCTAAGATCTCATCAATTTTTTTCCCTCCCATCTTCAACCTTGATATTTTCTATGGGATCTATTTTCAAGCTTACAGATCTTTTTTCAGTTCTCTCTAGTTTGCAATTATGTACTTCTGATGAATTTATTATCACAGGTATTTTATTTATCAGTTCTATATTTTCCATTTGGTCATCTTCATATTCTCTATTTCCTTATTGTCATTTTCTGACCTTTCATTTGCTGTGAGTGTATTTTCCTTAACACACCAAGCATAATTTTAATATGACTTTAAAGTTCTTATCTGATAGACTCTTTTTTTATAATAGATTTATTTTTTATTGGTGTTCAATTTGCCAACATACAGAATAACACCAGTGCTAATCCCGTCAAGTGCCCCCCTCAGTGCCCGTCACCCATTCACCCCCACCCCCCGCCCTCCTCCGCTTCCACCACCCCTAGTTCGTTTCCCAGAGTTAGGAGTCTTTATGTTCTGTCTCCCTTTCTGATATTTCCCACTCATTTCTTCTCCCTTCCCTTATATTCCCTTTCACTATTATTTATATTCCCCATATGAATGAGAACATATAATGTTTGTCCTTCTCTGATTGACTTACTTCACTCAGCATAATACCCTCCAGTTCCATCCACGTTGAAGCAAATGGTGGGTATTTGTCATTTCTAATGGGAGAGATAATTGGGGATTTAGACTCTTAATTATAGAGAACAAACTGAGGTTTGCTGGAGGAGAGGTAGTGGGGGAGGGGAGGATGGATGAAATAGGTGATGCAGATGAAGGAAGAGCACTTGTGATGAGCACCTGCTATTTGTAAGTGATGAGTCACTAAATTCTACACCTGAAACTAGTATTACACTGTGTGTTAGCTAACTGAAATTTAAATAAAAACTTGAAAAAATAAATAAAGTTCTTATCTGATAATTCCAACCTGAGGTCATCTCAGAGCTGGCATCAATTAATTATCTTTTCCTTTGAGATGAGGTCACATTTTCTTGGATCTTCGTAGGTCAAGTAATTTGGAATTGTACCCACTAGGCTGCATATATTTTGAATACTTTTTCATTTTTCAGAACAGTGTAGACATTCCTGTCTTAGCAAGCCAGTGACTTCACCAGACTCTTGTGTGTAGAGTGTCACACTGGTGTCACCCCAGAGACACAAGATTGTACTTCAGTGTGTATTGTGGCTGCAATCAGGCTTCCCTGTGCAAATGGGGCTCAGAGTTGAGCTGGAGCCTTGGCTTAGAGTTACAATCAGATATCTCTTCTTTGTCACCCTCCTTCTGTTCTGTCCTTCTCCAGCTTGTATTAGCTACTCTAGGCTTCTTTCCCTGGGTCCCCCACCAGAGTCCTACTCTCCCAGGGTATCTGCTTCTCAGTGGAATCTTCCCTCATTGTAGAAGCCAGTAAAGAAAAAAAAAGTGGAAATGTGTTCTGTACCCATCACTTGCCTCATATTCAACTCCAAAGCCTGCTTATTCTTGTCTCATCCCCAGAGCCTTCAGATGATAGGTTTTTAAATCTTGTCTTATATTAAGTATTATTAGTGAATTTAAGGTCCACAGAGGACCCTAGTGAAATCCTCTATGCAAGGCCTCCTTGTGTCTTTTATGCCCTTACTCTTTTGTCATTTTCCTACACACACACACACATGAAAAAATACACACAACATATATATGTCTATCCACTATATATTATATATATGACTCTAAACACTTGTTGATTTCTTGTGTTTTGAATATTCTCTTATAAATTATGACTTGTCTTTTATTTTTTTATGATAAGCAGCATTTTTAAAATTGAATATAGTCAAATGTCTCAATATTTTGCCTAATGGCATGCATTTTTTGTCTTTTTAAAAAATACTTCCCAAATCTCATCATTATGCCAATACTCCTTTCTGCATTGTTCTAAAATTTCAAGTTTTATTTTTTACATCTAAGACTTTAATCAATTCAGAATTGATTTTTGTATGTGATGTGAGGTGGGATCAAATTAGATGGGATTTTGGTTTTCTGGATGGATAACCAAAAGTCAAATATTATCATTTACTAAGAAGCCAGTCTTTCCCCTACTGGCCTGCTGTGTCAACTCTCCATCGAGTGGTCTATAAATGAACAAGTCAATTTCTAATGGTCTATTTGGCTATCTTTTGTCAATACCGGAGTCTGCAGATGAGCCCAGTCCTAAGAATACAGAAGTCTGTGGACACCCAAATGCTTCCAAAATCAACTCTGCCACCTTTAGGACTTTGCTTAGAGTTGGTTGGTTCTGCATAGGGTTGTTTGATCAAGAAACTCCAAGTGCCTCATAGCCTGATTAGGAGGCGCAAGGTAAAAATTTTCTTCTCTTGCTACAAGTAAGCAGAAGCAGAATGTAGGTAGCTTACATAGCCAGCACGGACCCTAAAATGAAATTGTCTGAGTTCAAAACTTGATTTTACAACTTACTAACTTATGTGGTTTTCCCTTAGGAAATGACTGGACCTCTTTCAGTGTTGACTTCTTATTTTTAAAATGCTAACAACAATGAATTCAAACTTCAAGAGTTTGGTATAAAATTTAACTGAGAAAATGGACATGAAACATACCTGGCAGGACAACCAGCACAGCACCCTACAGAGCAAGGACCAAGCTCACGAAGTAAAATAGCATCCCATAGGGCAGAACTACAACAATTTGCCCACTCGTTCCCATTCCGATCCCCTACCATCCTGACTTCAGTGATTCCAAAACCACATTTGCAGGTTTTCCTGCCACTAAAACTACTAGGGCCACCTGGCTTCTGCCAATTAGGTAAAATCCACCAAGAAGTGAGTGACTGACAGGACCTAAGAGCCACCCCTTCATGGTTGATGGTAAAGATGTCTTCTCAGTGGGGACAGTGAAGATGCAATTCCTGGTCCAAATCGTAGTTAGTAATTATGGCAGTGCTGCTGTGACAACAGTGGTTTGGGGACTTCCCCTGCGAGTCCCAGCTGAATAGCTCTAAAACCACGTTTTCCATCTCTTCAGAAGACTGCCTGACCTATGTAAGGTTTTCATTCATTCAACTAATATTTGCAGTGTACCTACTATGTGCTGAGTATCACTTACGTGTTTGAAATACATTGGTAGATAGAACCCAACAGAGATCTTGCTCCCAGGTGCTTCCATTTTAGCAGATGAAGACAAATATAAATATGCAACAGAATGAGTCCAGAATTTCAACAGTACAGGAGAAAGTAGAAAGTGCTCCAGAAAAAAAAAAAAAGGTAGAGTCAGAAAGAGGGACCGAGTGTGGCGAATGGCAGGAGGGCTGTAACTGTAAGCCAGGGGTTGTGCATGTGGGATCTGAAAGGATGCATTTAGGAGGGAGAGAGTTCCCGTGTAGATGTCTTGGGGAGGCTTGATACAAGAGGAAAGACCCCCTGCCAGCCTAGAAGGTGGGATGTGCGGTGGCACAGGGGGAACCTGGGGCGGGGGAGACAAGAGCTGGTCATGGTGCAGCTTCTCAGACCCGGCACCTGAGGCCCAGCCACACGCAGTGGCCGAGTTCCTCGCCGCGCTCTTCCCAGGACCCCCTGATTTTCCCAACATCTGTTCATGGCAGTTCTGTGCTCACTCCTCTGGAAGCCTCCCTAGTCACTGCCCTCCACACCCTCAGCTACTCTCCAGACCCGCCTGCTCCCCACTCTTCCCTAGAACAGTCCTGACTCACTGCTGCCAGTGACCTGGGAAAGGGAGTGGGTCTTGCTGACCTCTGTGTCTTCAGCTCTAGGCTGGAAGACATTCAACCTGTAGAAATGGTTGCTGCAAAGGTGAGTAAGTGGATGGAAAAAAAAAAAAACAATGATAATCTCCATTTTCCACCCTGAGATCAGTTAATTGCTACAGTCCCCAAAATCCAGTGGCGTATATATGGCATGTGAAACTGTCCCATCTACTGTGTTCTTTACGGGGCCTTGCTAAAGTCTAAGCTCCCTTCCATGGTAGGGTGAGTAAGACATAAACGGCCTTAGTGAGTTACCACCCGGAATGAGCCAGTATTTCTTGCACTTAACCCCAGCCGGGGTTAAACACTTGTGGGTGTGCTTCCAGACTGCCAAGGTGGCCAATTAGTGAATCAGTGCCCCAGTGCCTATGCCCTCTTGATGTCTTCTTGGGCTCAAGAGAGCCTTATGTAACGTTAAAATATAGTTCAAAAATTGAATATACTCTCTGCTTTCTTTGGGCTTTCACTTTAGAGACCGTGGTCAAGAAATCTGTATCGGGGCACCTGGGGGGCACAGTTGGATAAGCACGTGTCTTTGGCTCGAGTCATGATCCCGGGGTCCTGGGATGGAGCCTCACGTCGGGCTCCCTGCTCAGCGGAGAGTCTGCTTCTCCTTCTCCTTCTGCTGTCCCTCTTTGCTCATGTTCTTTCTCTCAAATAAATAAATAAATAAAATCTTAAAAAAAAAACTCCATCAAACACCTTTATATATTAAAATGTGTACACTTATGGATGAAAAAATTTATAGCACTTACGTGTTATTATTGTATTGTGTACATATATGCAAACAGTTTGAAGGAAACCAGAGAAGCTTCAAGGCCAGAGTGATCGCACAGGGTCCTCCTGAGTACAACACATTCTCGAGAAGCTGCTGTACGTCACGAAGTTAGGACCCCGTTTACCAAACTTGGTAGGACTGAACAGTTTACTCACTGACTCATTTTATTTGGGAAAGACTTAGTGGTAATTTTAAATACTTTATTGTTAGGCTCCCATCCTCAAGAATGTGTTTACACAATGCTAATTACTCACAACTGAAAACTGTGCTTTCTTTTATACCAAATACCCCCATGATGAATGTGTCAGCATTGGGGTAGATTAAATCAAAGATTAGACCTTTCCATGGAAAAAGTACATTACATTTGGACTTGTTGCTAGAAAGATTTTTAAAAGGAAGGAGATTTTTTTTTTTACGTGTATGAGGACTGATTTGGGAGTCATGCATTACATTAAGCCATACTATGGTAATTCTATGTAATATGTTACATTTTTGTCTAAACAGTCTTACAAAAGAACATTTTGTTGGGTGGTGGGCTGTATGTGTGTGTACATATGTAGGCGCACGTGCTTGTGTGTGCATTCTGGTGGGTTAAATTCACTTTACTACTCTTCTTTTCAAAATTCACAGATTTGCTTAGCTCTTTTGCCCACTTATCTCTAAGCTATATGTTAAAATAAATTTATGAAATTTCTCAAAACATTTTCACATTTTGTTTGGAATTACATCAGAATTACAAATTAATATGGAAGGAAATAATGTTTTTGTAATTTCCAGTCTCCATCCTGGAATTTGTTTTATTTGTCATTTACTGAATCAGAGAACTCCTCTGTAAAATTTGAATTTCGTTCATCTAGTTTATTTACACTTCTTGTTGAATTATGCATAACATTAAGAAAGCTACCAAGTCCTAGAAAGACACAACAAGAATCTGTCTTCTGAATCATTTCTATATCACTATGTCAGGGGATGGGATATCGGTCTTTATAATTTGTCCAAATGTTGGAATGGTCATTTATAAAGAAGTCATCTATGTATTTAGAGCAACCTCATTATCCGGCAGATGGTATAGCAGAAGTTCTCATAAATTTCACAGACTAGATACCATCACAACACAAACAATAAAAACAGCGTGATCATTGCTATATAACTGCACAGGAAACATTTTATTTGAAGCAAAAATTCAATAATAAAATCAACAAGGATTTTCTATGAACACTTTGTATCTTGTATTTCCTAAGAGTAAACAGCATTGCACCTTTTTAAAAAATATTTTACTTATTTATTTGTCGGGGGTTGGGGGGAACAAGGTGGAGCAAAAGGAGAGAGAGATAATTTCCAGCAGACTCCCCACTGAATGTGGAACCTGACACAGGGCTCGATCTCACAACACTGAGACATGACCTGAGCAGAAATCAAGAGTCAGGCGCTCAACCAACTGAGTCGCCCAGGCACCCCCAGCCTTATACTTTTTAGGAAAAACACACACTCACACACACACAAAGAATTGCTGCACAACATGGCATGATTCTAACTTTTCATAAACTAAACAATCACGACCACCTTTCTCTCATCATGGGTCCAGTTTGCATGGAGAGATTAACTTTTTGAAAAAAATCACCATCTGGAAATTAACTTGATGGTTTCCAGTGAAAATATGGAGTTTCACTTAAGTAATCTTTTAAATTACAGGAAATTTTGTCAGCATTTTGAATCCTCTAGCATCACAGCCTTCGCTAGCTATCCTGGGACCAAGTCATGCTGTGCCGCCACCTGGTTATCCACTAAATCTAACCCACGTTAACCTTCCAGGGAAACGTACACTTAGAATCCTGACAGGTTTGGGGGCACCTGGGTAGCTCAGCCAATTGAGCGTCCAACTCTTGGTTTCAGCTCAGGTCACCATCTGAGGGTTATGAGATGGAGCCCTGCATCAGGCTCCTTGCTCAGAGCCCAGTCTGCTTGAGATTTTTGCTCTCCCTTTGCCCATCCCCCTACTCGTTCTCTGTCTAGATAAATACATACACACATAGCTACCTACATAAAATCTTAAAAAAAAAAAAAGAAAGAAAAACATGGCAGACTTGCGATTTTTCTTTATGACCATTTTAGCTAGAAATACAGGGTTATTTTTTTCCCTAGATTGTGCTACCAAAAGTTTCAGATAAGAGAATCTGTAAAACATACAGCAATTTTATGTTGTGTGAAGTGAAATATTATCTATCATTTTTCAGCTCTGCGCACAAAGAATTATTCCAGCCAACGTCCTGAGAATTTTACAACACAGCTAAAAATGTTGGAGTTGGATGATATGGAATCTCAAGGTAATTCATTTTGCTCGAATACAGATTTGTCAAAGAAGCTTATGCATCACTACTTGTTTTGTCTGTTTGTTTGTTTACATGTAGTTTAGGGAAGAGAAATTGCAAGTGTCAGCGTGCCTCACCTAAATCCTGCTCGTGGAGCCTAGTCCCGGAGCTGTGTGAATGAGCAGCGGGCCCTGCAGTGGTCAGTCACCTCTGAGAAGTAGCCACCAATCGCCAGTCTTCGCTGAGTAGTGCCCCAGCTGAGATTTACTGCATGCTCGTCACGGGCCGGATGACACCAGGCACATTTGCAGGAGGACCTTATTCAATTCTCACTGCAGCCTTATGAGCTAACTGCCATTAGTGTCTGTATTTTTCAGAGGAGAAACCAGTATTTCCAGCCCACAGTAGTGTATTGAGAATGGAGCTCCAAAATTCGATCACCTGGCCCATCACCAGGCACCTTGATTCCCCTCACCTTGACTCCGGGCTCTGAGCCTGACAAATACAACGCAGAGGAACGGACGTCAGGCCCACCACAGAGAGGCTGGGGATTTACAACTTGGGGCACAAGCCTGATGCCATCAGGAGCTTTGTCTTCATGGCTCCATGCTGCTCCAGCTGCAGATGCTGGCAGGTGGGGGCAGAGGGACCCACAGCGACCCTGGAGACACAGCCTAGGACTTGGGTGGTCTGTCCCAGCTTGGGGATGCTGGTGAAGGCCACAGGGTGCCATCTGTGCCCCGGCCCACCTCCCCTTCTCCTGCCTCTTCTGACCCTGTACCCACCTTGTCCTTTCAAAGATGTTTCTTTCTGCAATCTCTACTCACTGGCTACGGGGCTGCCACAGACCACCTGTCTGCTCTAGCAACGGGGCTCCTACCCACCTTTCTGCCTCTCCCACCTCATCTAATGACCTGTTCCAACCTATCCACTCATCTTTTTCATTTCACCACCTCTTTCAATATCCTCCCTATAGACCAGGAGACCAAATTTAATTGTAGTAAGGGACCAACTGGGTAACATTCGTAGAAGTATCTGGGTGCCAATCACAAGCAGTCGGGCCGTGGGCAAATGTATTCACCATCTCAAAGATTCAGATTCAAAGGTATTAAAACACCATGAACAAAGCGAGTCTAGAGAAATGGAATTGGGTTGCCTCATTTAGACCCATTCATAGACCTTGTCACTATGGCTAAATTACATTCTTGGTACTAATCAGTGAAACACCCTGGTTCTGAAATCATTATGATGACAAGAGGTGGGGAAAGAAAGCTGGCCTGCACCAGCCAGCTACGCTACTGACTAGCGTATGGGCACAATGCAGAAGAACCTTTTCTGCCTTGCTGTACCTCGTGGCACAATAATCTTTAAAATAATTTTGGGGGCCCCTGGGGAGCTCAGTTGGTTTAGCCTCTGCCTTCGGCTCAGGTCATGATCCTGGGATCCTGGGATGGAGCCTAATATTGGGCTCCCTGCTCAGCGGGAAGACTGCTTCTCCTTCTTCCTCTGTTCCGCCCTCGGCTTGTGTTTGCTCTCTCTCTCTCTCTCTCTCTCTCTGTCAAATAAATAAATCAATAAAAACTCAAAAAAAATTGGGGGGTGCCTGGCTGGCTCAGTCAGTGAAGCATGTGACTCTCAACCTCTAGGTTGTAAGTTCATATCCCAGGTTGTGTATAGAGATTACTTTTAAAAAAATCTAAAATAATTGTATTCATAATCCTGATACAGTGATCATGGAAATTATGATTAAAATCATTTTCAAAAAAGCTAGTTAGACACCAGGTACAGACATTTAGACATGCCATTAACCTGGGATTGTGTCCTGGCCTTTTGCAAACATTGTACTGACTTATACACACACACACACACACACACACAAACACACACACACACACTCACAGTGTTAACGTCCACGCCTACTGGGAGTCATCTAAATGGAAAAAGGAGATTCATTCTCTGAAAAGTGTGAGAGACACCCTATTGGAGATTTAACTGATTTAGGGGTGAGCCATGGAGAAAGAAGGTCATTCTATTAGCTAAAGCCAGGGGTGAGGCTCCCATTCAGTCAGAAACCACCCCTGCCATTCCCACATCAGAAAGGTTTATCTGATTTTTCTCACTTACAAATGTTGGCAGAGCATTAAAAGTCAAGACAGCAACAGAACCTCCAGCTGGGCACGCTGTTACTTGTCAATGACCTTTTCCACCTTTTTCTTTTTTTTTGGAAGATTAAAACAAAATCTTACCTTCCCCAGCTGCTTTTTTTTTTTTCAAGCTCACTTATCAGAAGTAATAAGGGACATAAAAAAAATCAGTATTTCCTGGACCCTCAAGATCCCATAAATAAATAATTTAAAGGACAAGTGAAAAGTTGAAGGAAATGTTCCCCACACATGCATAGGGCTACAAAGACCTAAATACGTCTAGTATACAGCGGCTTGAAGAATTTGAAAAGAGAGAGAGAAGTAAACTACCACCATAGAGTAATGGGGAAAGGATATGAAGAGATCATTTGGGAGCAGAAAAATACATATGGTGTTCAAAGAAGCATGAAATAGCATGCACTGTTTCACCTATCAATTGCTCAAATATTAAAAATACAATAGAGCACGCAGTGTTGTCCCAGACACGCAGAAGTGGACCCTCTCAAATGTCATCGGTGAGAAAAACAAATCGATACCAACTTTGCACAAATCAGTTTGCTCATTCCTATGGAAAAGCTTAGAAACGGCAAATCCTTCGGTTCAGTAATTCCACTTCGAAGACTGTATTGTAATACAATCATTCTGCATATACTAAAAAAATTAACCTCAAATATTCCTTGTTAATCTCTGACCAAATATTTGAATAATCTGGTAACAAAATAGCATATAGTATAGACTCAGCTTTGTAAGAAATAATATTTGTCGGTATATAACACATAGTTAAAAAAATGAAAATATGTGCAGCAAAGAGATCTTTCCAGAATGGTGGAATTTTATATTAGTCTTTTTTTTTCTCTCTGATAACCTAGGAGGATTATGTTTTCTTTAATAATGATGCATTATGACAATAGATTTTTGTTTTGTGAAATGAAAAGAAAGGTGGTTTTCCTTGCTTTGTGATGAAAATATAAATGCTTCTAGGAGAAGTCAGTGAAAGTGATATCATTATTTGGTATGGGAAGTGATTCTGTGATGTGTTGACTTGTAATACAATGACACCACTACAGAACAAAAATACTCATTCTCATGGAAAGTATGAGAATGTATAGAAAGTCATGAAAACAGTACTTTCCTGCCCACGTGATACAACGACGAGACTTGTAGGTTTTCTTCTTCATCCTTCACTGCCTAATTTCTCTATGAGAATGTTGATTACTTTCTAGGAAAACCTATTCTAAATCCAGGTCCTATGCATTTTACAGGTACACCGAATAGCTTCTGGGAAGTGTTAAAATATAACCAGACTATCCCATGATCTAATATGTTGAGGGGGAAAAAAAATCATCACCTAATTTGCATCCAAGTATTATAGACGTACAGGCATAGACAGAAGCACAAAACATCTAGAAAAGCCACCTGTGGATGGTAAGTTTTCGAGTAGTTTTATTTTTCTTTCTGTTTTTTTCCCTAATTTACAATCCCCCCCCCCCAATAAATGTATTTTATGATCTGGAGAAAATGTTCAATGTACCCTCAAGGGATAAAAAAGAAAGTTTACAAACAGGTAGTTCTGCCCATGGTTGGCAACTTTCATATGAACACGAAACAGCATTAGCATAGCGTATCAACAGACTAGTTTATAGAGTCTGTAATAATCCCACAGAAAGTGATATCAATACATCACTTGAGAGCAGGGATGTCAATATACTTTTTTCTCCCAATTGGGTATTTGACAAATGGATTTGTTTAAGAGCTCCTCCCTAGATAAATAGGAACACACCAAAATCTATGATAAGATAAAGATGGGAGTGGATTTGCCCTCTACCAAGGGCAGGGTGCTGAGAGATAAAGTTTTTGCTCCACCCTCAGCAACTCCCTCACCAACCAGTGTATTTGGAAAGAAAGAGCTCCCAGTGGAGGAGGAAGTGGAGCTAAGCTGTCTTTTGGCTGCTTCATTCCCACCTTGCCATCTTCAAATCCTCCAGGTTCTTACCTTTTCAAAGATTTCACACTGTCCAGCAAGGATGCACGTCCCTAACAGAGAAGGGTCCATCGTGCAACACTTCAAAATAGACCAAGTGGAACAGGATCCGTAGGAACAGGATCCAAGGCTTCTGTCCCAGCAGGAGAGGGTGGCTTGCAAGCTGAGCTGGGGAACCTTCTCCCGGGGGCCGCTCCAGGCAGCATTTAGGGGAAAATTCACATGCTGGCTTTATGTCTTGCTAACTGGGTGATCCCAGGCAAATGATCCGAGTCACTGTTACTTGTGTTCCCTCCTAATTTTTAATGCAGGTGAGCATTTACTTCCTAAGGCAGCGGTGAAGAGATACGGGGGATGGGTGTTCAGCACGGAAGCTGGCCCATGGCAGGCACCCAATCAGCTAGTCACCCATTTAATAACCGACATGCTCCTGCTGCGGACGCAGCTTTGGAAAACCACAGGTAAAATTCCCGTGGTCCTCATCACACCGGTATCACTCGATGACCGGTAAGTAGGAACAGCAGTCTCTGATACAAGAAATTTGGATCAAAAATATCCTTTGGATAATCTAAGAACCTTCAGGAAAAGATTCATAATAGGATCATCTCCTATGGCAACTTGTGCTTTTCACTCAATACAACTATGATATCATCATATCATTAATCAACTCTTCAGAGAGACTCTTCTCTAGGGATTATTTCTTCAATACCATGTCCACATGCACTGCAATGCAGCCCCGGGCTTCTAAAGGCTCAAGGCTGCCCTGAGTTTGTCCTGGGCCATCTGTGGGCCTCCCTTGTCATTAACTCCTCTACACAGAATGGGGACACACAGTCTTAGCCACCGAGAGCAAAGCCTGAGCACTGAGAACATGAAAAGAGCCAAACCCCCCAGAACCAGGCCTGCAGAGGTCCTTGCCACCTGTCCCCTCCCGCTGCTGGTCAAGGTGCAGGGTGGCCACGGGGCTTGGACCAGGGACTGCGACCCGCTGTGTGCATTGGCTCCAGATGACCTGGGTGGATACCACCACAGGGGGTGCAACGCACCTGGAACTTCACACCTGGTTGAGTGCCAGGAAGCAGGTGGGAGTCTATGTTAGAAGCAATTTGGATATTAAGAGCTCTGGATCCAGGGACTGGGGGACTCAGTCTGCTGAGCCTCTGCCTTCGGCTCAGGTCATGATCCCAGGGTCCTGGGATGGAGTCTGCATCGGGCTCCCTGCTCAGCGGGAGTCTGCTTCTCCCTCTGTCTCTTCCTCCTGCTTCCCTTCCTGCCCTCTTGTGCTCTGTTAAATAAATAAATAAAACCTTAAAAAAAAAAAAAAAAGCTCTGGATCCTTCCCAAAGATTTTTCCATCTTGCCACAATGAGTAAAAATTAGTACATGGTGACACAATCTAACACCTAACGAAATAATGTGTTGTGTTGTTCCAAGAACTCATTGTTAATGAATGGAAGCAGAGTAGGTAGGTAGAGAGATGGATAGATAGATAGATAGATAGATAGATAGATAGATAGATAGATGAGGGGAGCCTAGGGGGCACAGTCTGTTAAGCGTTGACTCCTGGTTTCAGCTCAGGTCACGATCTCAGGTTGGTGAGATCTATCCCTCACTCAGCAGAGTCTGCTTGAGATTCTTTCCCTCTCCCTCTGCCCTTCCTGCTCATGAGCTCTGTCTCTAAGAATAAATAAATGAATCTTTAAAAAAAGATAGAGATATATATCTAATACATATAAATATATAAATAGTATAGACATGTATATTAATATATAAAATACATATAAAATTATTTTATGCTAAATTGAATAATGTTTGCTAATTATCTCACAAGTCTTTGTAGTGTTGTTCGTTCCATTAAATACGAGAATTCCATATCACTCTTTAGTATCATCCCTCCTCGGAGTCTAAGCGCACGCAAAGCCCACAGTAGGCCTTCAGCGAACACACGGCTGACTAAACACACCGGGGAGAACAAGCTGCTTTGGCACCTGGTATCTGGAGGCTTTCTCTGCTGGTAAAATAAAGAGATGGATACTAAGAAGACAGAACGACTTAGGAGATCCCAGAAAAAATTTAGAGGCATCTAAACTTCACTAGCTCAATAATGGAACTGTACAGAATGAGACTCGAAAGGAAAGGAAGATAAGAGAAAGGAAGGAGGGAAGGAGGGAGAAGGAAGTGGGCCCAGATGAGCAGCGAAATAAAAATTCAAATATGATTTTATTG